TAATCCTCTTCCTACAATAAACCTTTTCTAAGCGCCTTGTATCCTTTGGCAAAAGGCGATATATAAATTTCTATATTATTATTATTATTATTTCTCACCTCTTCCAATGGAAGTGTTATGTTTTCTGCACTTATTTCCTGGAGTTTCATCAAGAACTCAAACCATTTGATGGGAATAGTCCTCTTCATTCTGTTCTTGATTTTCAGGATGACTTCTTTCATTTTGCCAATGTTTTTATCCGATGATGACAGTTGATTTTCAACATCAAAGTATGTTGGGTATACATGTGACTCATATACCTTGCCTTTGATTGCATTACGGATTAGATCAAACTGTTGCTTGACCTACAAAAACATGACCAAAATATTATGCATGCATTTACAGAATTGATTATAGTAGACACAGTTTGCTCAAACCAGTGCTCTAAAATGTTTGGCTTATTACCCAGTCAGCCGTATGTAGACTGGGTTCTGTTTTCTTAGTGTTGTTCTTCTGTTGGCAACACTTCAAAACGCTACTAGTGCCAAGCGGTTGAGCAACAAATCCTCTCAATATAACCGGTGACACCTTTCATACATGGGGTGTTCACTGTTTGGGGTCAAAGGTCACACAGAGGTCATTAGGGTCAAAAAACCAAAAATCATATAAAAGACATTCTTTAAAAATAACATAGGACATTCTTGTCCTATGCACATATGCATTGGCATTAGGCAGAGTCTATAGGGTGTTCAGGGATTTGGGGTTAAAGGTTATTAAGGGATAATTTTTAATTTTTTTCTGGCTACATTTCAAAACGCTACTAGTGCCAAACAGTTTTTCCAATTTCAAACAAACTTGGGTCAATATAACCAGTGACACCTCCCATAAATGGGGTGTTAACAGTATTTTCCTTTGCACAATGTATTGGCATAAGGCAGACTCTATAGGGTGCTCTGAGATATGGAATCAAAGGTCATTAAGTATTAAAAAAAAATTCCGGTATTGGCCAAGATTTGATATGTTGTACAACTAACTCTTGCTAATAGATAGTGAGAGTTAAGTTCAAAAGTAAAATTGTTAACCTGATTCAACTGAGCTCAAATTTACCAGGAATGACCTGACTGGGTTTATGTTCTATTGAAAATAGTTTCTAGTTATTTATTTCTTAGCCTCTCCATTAAAAAAAATAAAAAATTTTGCTGTTTTTCGCTAATAAAAAGGCCTATATGTGTTTTTAGTCAATTTCAGGCATCAATGAAATTGTAATAGTCTTTATTTTACAATAAATGTTAATAGAAATATATGGAAATCTTAAATACTGACTAGAGTATTCTTTATTATTACTGAATTCTGTATTTCACTTAATTTATTCACATCTATATCATTCACATGCATAATGACATAGTTAAAAATTAAGGTTTTTTTACAAAAGACAATGACAAAAATACACAAAAATTACAAATTGAAAATTTAATATGCATACCTTCCTCTCTCTCTCTTCTTCGGTATCACCAAGAGAGTTCCTATGAGTACCAGCAATGATGCATGCTGGGAGATCCAGTTGGAGAACATGATCACGGGTACTTCTTGAACTATAGGTGTAAGACGATCGAATCCAGTACAAAAGATGCTGCAGATTTGTCATGTAGTATTTACGTGTTTTCTGAAATAAAATAATTATTACAAAACGTTATTTTGAGCTGCGACTGACTTTTTATTTAAAGGACGGAAAGAAACATATGTATTCTTGCGGACTTCCACTAAAACAAAGCATTGACGTTAATTGTATATCAGTATTGGGTAACAATGCTGTTGAGGGGAATATGATAAAGGTGATTCTAAACCCACCAACTTTTATCCCCGCAGCTATTTTATGATAGACTTAACATGACCTTAATTTTCCTTTTACCCTTACCAGATACGTAAAGGTTCCTAACCTTTTTGTAATGAGTACTTGCACAAAACACTCTGCTTCACATTAACCATCTCCTCTTGAAAAATCTCTTATTTATAACCCATGATTACCTTCCTTTGCAACATGTGCTTGATTGGAGTGTAATATCTCACATTTAACGGCACCTTCTGACTGGTTCTCAGTCTGACAAGAAATATTTCTTCAAAGCACACTTTACAATCTGCACCATCCTATCCACTGCCCCATCTGAGGCAAGGTGATATGGAGCCAGTAGGTTGTGTTTTACTCCATCTACTTCAAAACGGCATTAAAGTAGGAATTGCAGTCCAATGTTTAGAAATGGAAAACCAATCACACTAAACCTGGGGATTTTTTGGCACTAGTTTTTTTATTCATAAATTCAACCTTTATGTCTGTGTTTTTGTTGTATTTTAGTCATTATTTTCATGGTTACACTTTTAATATTCCGTGGTACCTAATTAAAAAACTATTTAGTCTTAAAAAAAGTAATTAAAGTAAAAATTTCAAGAGGTACTCTGTACTCTAACAATATAAAATTAAATAAACTACTATATAGTTGAATGAATTTCTGAATAAATGAACTAATTTATTACCAAATGAAAGAATGAATGAATGAGAATGTATGAATGAATGGTATTACTACAGTACAAAATTCACCACTATACTTACTCCATTTGAGTCTTCGATGACAGTAAAAGCATTCAGGTCATCCGTAAGTTTAAAAACGATAATGAAAATGCCTTCTGGCGTCAAGAAGAACTAACAAAGATAAACATTAAATTGAAATCAACAATCAATCAATGAACAGGTATAGGTGGACCACTAATCCAACGCAGATTACAATGTTCACATGTACATATACAGACATTGACATTTTTTAGACATTGCACACATTAGATTACATATTAGCATACGGTATATAATATATAGTTTAGTTAAAAACAGGGCTCCCGTGAACATTTTTCGGTGACCAAGGTTTCTCTGCTGATTTGCCATCACTAGCGTATAAATAAAAATAAGTGGGGGCGAGCCTCCAGAAAAAGGGCGGAACATGTTTTTTTGGAGGCCATTTTTAAAATGGCCGCCAAAAAACATGTCAAGTCAGCAGAGAAACCTTGGTCCCCGAAAAATGATCACGGGGGCCCTGTTTTTCACTATACTAATATATAATACATATACTAGAAATTGCAAATTTCAAGTGAAGTGCTGCGAAGTACAACTGCATATAAATGTTCTTCGTACAAAATTATTTATGCGAGTCAAGTGAATATAATGAATAATAAAAATATAACAAATAATATGAGACACAACCCATTGTCTATAATTAGAACACTGACGAGCTGACGTAGAAACATAGTAAAAACGACCGTTGGTACCGTGTATGCCAGTCTACAACAAGCGTCGCCTAAATGTAATAATTAGCACGCTGAAATAGGCTAGTAAATAAGTTTAACTGGGTTCGTAAATAACATTGGCCTCAAAATATTGTGGCTGAGACATGGGCCGATTAAACGTAGAAATAGGAAACCTAGAAATATAGTAAAAACGCTGAATACATGCGGACGTTGGTACGTGTAGGTTAGTCTACAAACGTCGCCTAAAGTAATTGATTTTACCCGGCAGAACTCCACTTTTCAGTGGTCTTAGGCCCTTGTTTTTTGACAAACAATGACCTTTCAAAGGTCAAATTGCTGTCAAGAATATGATTGGCTGCTTTGCAGCAATAATTATATTTCATTATAAAGTTAAATTACACTGTGGGGATCATTTTTTTGTGGTGTGAGAAATGACTGAAGTTTAGTATGGTTGACCAAAGTTTTCCTAAAAGAAAAAGCCACCAAAAACAAAAAATCTTTACCAAAACCCTATTCCTTACCCTAAGAATGCTGTGGTAAATTGGTTGACCTCCAAAATCCCATATCCTGATAGAGTTGCCATCTGTGTTTAAACTTACTGTACCACCTTTCAAAGCATTCTTGACTTTTTCTGCAATACCTTCATCCATTTTTGTCTCAATTCTTTCAACCTTCTGCTTTACTGTAAATAAAATGGCAGTTAATGGGAAAAAAACCCAAAATTACATTTCAATACCTGTGAAGTTGAAGACCAACACCAGTACAAGGATCAACAGATACACAGGATGCAAATACAAAAATTTAAGCAAGAAGATGCAGAGCCTTAGGTGATTCAAGGAACTTGACAAAATTGAGGTGCATGTAGTTAAAATGACTGTACAAGTTAAACTCTTGAACTTTATGGCGTGGACAATGATGCATCAATGACTTTTATGCCTGTGTCTGTTTTATTATCCTACATAAGGCGAGACTTTTTTTTTACAACACATGCAAATATTGATGATTTTGAATAAAAATAAAATTTTATCTTCGGCCAATTAGGGCACCCACCCCCACAAAAAAAAGTTAAGTTTTTTTTTGTTATTACGCGGCCTTCCGCTGCCTTGAAATCTTCAAAGATAAGATAGATATATTTCTTTCTAATTATTGTAGAAAACCAAGACAGACATGACTAGGTTATGCAAGATTGAAATGTGGTCGGTATATTCTGCTATATGATACTGTCCTCCACAGGATGGAGGAAAATATCAAAAATGATTCAAGCTTGGATTACGATACCTTTCGAACGTCTTCTGGGAACAACAACTGAACGGTTGTCAATTTCCTGTTGAGTTCCAATTCTCTTTACCGGTTGATTGTTAATTTTATATTGTCCGGGAACTAGTTTTCTCCTTTCAGGTACTGTAAGGTAAAATACAACAAAATATTTTCACAAAGTATAAAACTGCAAGAGGTCTGACTACCCTGGTTTTGTTGGAATGTAATCCTATTTCAAACTGCCACAAAAGGGCATGTCCTTAAGAAATGAATTTCTAGAGAACTCTATTTGAATTCTAATAGGGCGCCTCCTATCTTGTGGCAGTATTTTTTACCGTTCCACTGCGCGCATACATAATCAGAGCAGTCAGACCTCTTGAGGTTCTAATGTCTTTGACATTATTAAGAAAATTGACATGCACTATATTTCAATTTCATGCAACAGAAAGTTCTAATACACTAGAAGATGGAAGTGACAATCATTTGGAAGCTTAGAGTGCAATTGCTCTTCAGTAGTGTAAAAAAATCCTAGCATCACAGAATTTTTAGCCTAGGTGAGTGTTAGTCTATCTATGCCCAGGCTTATGTCTGTCCAAGCTTAAGAACACACAGATGTCTACTGCTTTACGAGGGTGTTTAGAATTTTGCAGGAAATTCAATGTTTTTTTGGCTAGTGAAATATACAGGTGTATATTAAATTTAGTTAAGTTAATTGGCCTTAGTTTAATAGACGGGTCAAATGGACTAGCAGTTAGTAGGGGCGCCGCAAGCTACAGCCATAATATCGGCGCTGGTTCAAACGGCACGCTCGCCTATGGTTCTGGTGGTAGAACAAGTTTTCTCGATTAAGGACTATAAACCGTAAGCCCAGTGTATGCAATGGCTCGTGTGCACTATAAAGAACCCAGTACATCCTTCGAGACGAGTAGGGGATACCTCGGTATACTGGAACAGAAAGCCCCTGTGGTGGACGACGAGAGTTGGTGGTTCTGGGTTACCGTGTAGCACAGACAAGAAGAGACCCTTAGAGGTGAGGAAAGTCATTGATCGAGTTCCTAGTCCACATATCAAGCGCCCTGAGCATCTTATGTTAGATGGATTTGGCGGTATATAAAATTACACTATTATGAAATAAAATACCTTACTATACATTTCTATATGATTTATAAAAAAGCAAAGAATGCGTGTGGAAGGGGGGGGGGGGAGAAGAGAGACAAGAGACAGATCCGGAATTTTTTGTTAATGTGCTAGACGAACTACCAAGAATTTCTGATGGTTTGATTCAACAGTACCACAGTAGTAAGGTCGAGTATGGTTGATATGATATGATTAAATTTAAAATACCAAGCTTGTATTTCAGTCAAAAAAAAACATGCATTGATAATATTTTAGGGGGTGCTGAAACCCTTTTCACCGCACATGGAAAACAACAAAATATCTGCTTATCTGGCCTTAGTTTAATAAGCAATACAATAATTTGAAATTAAAAAGGCAATTAATAAATTATCTTACTTTTATTTTCTGGTGCTGAATTCACATTCTAAAAACAAATATTAAAAAAAAAAACAAAAAAAAAAAAAAACGTTATCAAAATATTATAGCCTCCACAGTTGAAAATAAGGTCATTTTTGGCATCTACTCTATTAATTGCAGGATTAATTGTTGAATGTTGCAATAATGTTTTTCTTTATTCATTGATATGTACATTATTAATTTAAACACTTTTACATATCTCAAATACCAAAGAAAAACATGTCATGGTACTCTAGTAACATCACTGAGTTGCAAATGGAACTACTCAGGAGTGTGGTTAAATGTAAGGCTAAATATAATTATAAGTCAATCGTGACATCACATTGCAACTCCCAATGTTTTAGCCTATCCCCCACAGTGAAATAATTTTTTAATTAGTGAACACTTGGCTTGATTTTTTTTAAGTTCGTGTGCAAAAAAAAAAACCTAATTTTTTGTCACCGCGAAGATATTGTGCACCGCAATGAAAATTGAATAGTAATTGAAAATTACTTTTGTAAAAATAGATAAATTAAAACCTGAAAAAAGTTACTTCAAATTCAATATTAAGTATGAATTAAAGAATTTCTAGAATCAATGGACCTTAATAAACTAAACAAACTGAACACTTAATACTAGTATTCTAGACCTATTTTAAAGAGTCAATGAACAAAATTAGATGTAGGCCTACTATCAGGCAGGAGGCCGCTGAGGCCGTAGCCTATAGTTAAGAAATCATTGCACGATTTTTACCTGTCTGCACCGACCAAAAAGTCAGTGATTGTATTTATTCTCGAATGCTTTAAGAAATGTTTATTTCTTTGACGAATATCTAACAAAATAACATTACAAACAAGTACTTCTAACACAATACAAATTACAATAGTAATTCATCGTATCCGTACTGACAGTAATCAGCATATGCACAGCTAAATGTAAATACGCACACAGTATACTGATCATATCACTATAGGAACCGATGACTGCTACAACAGTTGGTTATTAAAACTATTACTCACCTATTAAAAGACGGCGATTGACTTATAAAGCAATTAGTAGAGCATGCATCGTACACTAGCGGAAAATCATTACACTTAGGTTAGATTTAATGCATTCAAAAATTTCCTTCGGGGTTTGCAGGCCCTCAGGAAAGTTTTTCAAGCATTAAATCTAACCTTTGTATGATAATTTTCCTATAGTATACTATGCGGAGCTCTACTAATTGCTTATTAATAAAAATTAAAGATTCAACATACACAAGTTTGATTTGGATGTAGATCTTCTACAACTTTCTCCATAACAGCATTTTCATATTTGTCTTTCATCTCACCTTCTGTGAACAATTTAAAAAAATATTTTAAAATCAATGACTAGCTGTATGATGAATTATTTCATCTGAAGAATACACATCAGAACTAGAAGACCAAGAAGAAGATGAAGAACAAAAAAATAGTGTACAAACAATAAATGTGAGTGCAATAGAAAGAATATTTTCATGTTTTGAAAGATCGACTTTCATTTAACGAGGAAAAGTCGAGTTAAATAAAACAGTCAATCTTTCAACAAATGAAAATAACCTTTCCATTACACGAATACAAAACATTCATTTTTTTAAATAACACACATAAATAGATCATTGTCATTTGATCATCTTCCAAGCAAGTGTCCCAGTAAGGCCTGTTGCACGCCTGCTCTGTGACTATATTCTCTGCGCAAAACCTAGGCTAGATATCTGTCTGCCCATTTCAGAAAATAAAGGCTGAATTTGCAGACTTTGTGCAAACTTGAGTTAGTTTTTGAGGTATCATCCACACAATTAAGTTAAAATACTTTACGGTAAACAAAATCTATGATACATTGCACACTGCCAAGAAAGAAGTAGGACCTAGGCCAACTACTGTCCGAGCCACAGCGTAAAAGAGAGAATGAGAGTTATGGGTGACGTGACATCATTTCATGGATTTCACCTTCTGGAAAAACCAATCAAAAGATTGTATTAGGTTGAAGTCATTTCGTTTGCTACGAAACCCATTCGTGCCAAAAGAAGTATATGTTAGCGCTACTAATTCGAAATTTTGAATTACTAATTTAAAATTACTAATTCAAAATTTTGAATTACTAATTCAAAATTTCGGATTAGGCCCTTATATAGGCCTATTTTTAAAAAAATAAAGAAAAGAAAAGAAGGTGGGAAAAACTATCGCTGCAAGTGCAACAGTTACGATAATTTTTATCTTCGTTAATCTGATCATTGCCGAATTTGTGGTGGGGGGGGGGAATCAGTGGTCCTTGGGCAAAAATTTTGTTTTGTTTTGTTTATACATATATATGTTTATATATATATATCCGTAAATATCCGTTTGGTTTTGTTATAGCTTAATAAATTTGTGTTCCGCAAGTCAACTTTCAATACTTCATATTATTTATTTCCACTACAATATTGTTTCGTATGGTTGGCAGAGCCAACTACACTCATCAGGCGGATATGTACAACTGATGTTATTACAAGGAAAACTTAAGCATATCATTAATTGAGAAGCAGATTAGCGGTGATTAAAAGGGTCTATTGTCTAGATGGTATATTGTTTATCTATGGATGTAGGCATAGATTGCATCGTTTTGCCTACATGAAAAGTTTCTAATTATTTGTCATCCTGAGTTAAGTTCTCTCAACTGCAGAAATGAATTAATATCCACTTGTAGGTACAGGAGGAAATTCCTGCTAAGAAACCAATGATTGCTAATCCATAGATAAACAATACTTCAATATATATATATATATACCAAACGTACGTAGGCCTCACAGAAAACGCATTTAAGACAAGATACAATAACCACAAAGCCTCATTCAAGAACAAATCCAAGAGACTTAACACAGAACTAAGCAAGTACATATGGGAACAAAAAGAAAAAAATATGGACTTTAAAATTAAATGGAACATTCTCAAACAAGCTAAACCATATAATCCATCATCAAAAAGATGCAACCTGTGCATATGGGAAAAATATTTTATAATTTGCAAACCCGAAATAGCTACACTTAATAAACGTAATGAACTTGTTTCAGCATGCAGACATGCCAACAAATTTCTTCTAAGAAATTTTGTAACTTAATTTTATTTTTACCCCCTCCTAGCATGCAAAATCTTTCCCATGTAATTTTGCTACTTAACTTATGTTTATCACTTAAATCCCTTTCATTGCTTATCAAACTTTAATCAGACACATCTAATAGAACCCTTTGTATTACCGCTATACCTTTTTGCACATGCTCAGCTTATATCAATTGTATTTCTATGTTTTTTAGTCATTAGGCTATTTTATCTGAAGAGTGTCACACTATGTGTGTGGTACGAAACTAAGTAGTAATAAAACGTCTAATCAAAGCTACTGTTGAACCTCACTTTTTATTTATTTATATATATATTATTTAAATTTTCTTCTTTTTTTTGCTCATGGAACCCCTGACCTCCCCCACCCTTCAGAATCGCCAATGATCAGATTAACGAAGATAAAAATTATCGTAACTGTTGCACTTTCAGCAATAGTTTTTCCCTCTTTCCTTTCTTTTCTTTATTTTTCCTTTCTCTTTTTTTGTGGACCATATATAGGGGAATAAGGGGTGGGGCGGCAGCTGCGCCCCTCCCGGACGGAATCCGCCTCAGCAAGTTGCATCAAGCTGAGCTAATAATTCGTAATTACGAATTAATAATTTGAAATTACGAATTACTGATTCGAAATTACGAATTATAAATTCGAAATTACGAATTAGTAATTCGAAATAACGAATTAGTATTTCAAAATAACGAATTAGTAATTTCGAATTATTGGCGCTAACATATACTTCTTTGGCAAGAATGGGCTTTCGTAGTTTGCTAGGCATCATGCATTGGAAAAAAACAAATGGAAAGAAAATGCACGGAACTAAATAAATTGCAACAATGAGTGATGAAATGGGATGAATAATCAATGTCAAGTGATACGAAATCCGCTAATCAAATACTGTAACTGGGATCCATTTAAGTCTTATAAATAAGACAATTTCATGCAAAATGGATGTATGGTGGATCTATGCAGTAGTAAATGGTATAGGATGGAGGAATATATTAAGAAGAACTGACCATCCATAAAGCTCGGATTACGATACCTTTCGAACGCTGTCTTCTGGGAACAACAGCTGGAAGGTTGGCAATATCCTGTTGAGTTCCAATTCTCATTACTGGTTGCTTTTTAATTGTATTATGAGAATATTTAGAAACTCGCTTTCTCCTTACTGGTGCTGTAAGGTAAAACACAATAATATTACAATTATTAAGAAAATTAACATGCACTATATTTCAGTTTTAGCCAACAAAAAGTGGCTTGCCACCTAGACTAGAGGATGAAAGTGACCTTAAGTAAACAGCTTCAAATTTTACAAAACAGGGCAGCCAATAGTAGCACAAAGGTTTCAAAGTATGACTATACTGATGCTCTACATAAACTGAACAGGCTTCAATGAAGCTTTGGCAAAGTACAAAGCCCACAATATCTTATATACCAACCAAAGAAAAAATACATAATAACCAATCAAAAGACAACCTTTATCAAACAGACTAGAGACTATGTTCAATAGTCATTCCTGGTAAATTTAAGCTCAACTGGATCATGTTAAAATTTTACTTTTGAACTCAACTCTCACTATCTATCGGCACAAAAACGGTAAATGTCCCTTTTTTACTTTTAAGCCCACTTTTGGAGGAAAAAAGTTTTTGATATGTTGTACAACTGACTTTCCTAAAACAATGTGACTGTGTAACTACAAGAAGAAAAGCTTTAGTTATCAAGGAGCAAAAATTTTGGAACTCTTTAGTAGATGGAGCAAAAAATAAGAGTTTAATAAAAATTATGTCAAACCTTTCCAGTAGTCAACTTTTTTAAATTATTTTACTTTACAGTTGCCAGTACGGTACTTTCTTTTAAATCCTTTGTTTGCTGTAGTAATTTAAAGATGTACACTTCCAGTCACTGGAAGTGTTCTGGCAGACTGGGTTCTGTGTTCTTCTGACTCTTCTGCCAACATTTCAAAACACTAATAGTGGCAAACAGTTAGGGAGATTTCAATCAAACTAGCTAAGTAAAACCGGCGACATCTCCCATACATATGGTGTTCACAGCTAGGGTCAAATGCCGCATAGGAGTCATTAGGGTAAAAAACCCCAAAATATTATTAGGGAGCTTTTGATTGCATGACGACGGTAGGACGTAGAACGTAATGAAGTCACTAAAAGTCATCTATGCATGCAAGTCGAGCAGATTCTAAAACGCAATTTGGCCAAATCTACGTATGCAGAGAACGTAGGACACCAGGTAGGACAGTCACACATGAGTGATTAAGTTCTAGTGTCGCGTCGTCGCACAATCAAAAGCTCCATTAAAAACTACTTCTATCAGAAGCAACTTTGCACATATGCATTGGCATAAGGCAGAGTCTTTAAGATGTTCGAAGATTTGGGGAAAAAGTCATTATGGGGTCATTCTTATTTCTTCCAAAATATCTCACAAATGGATCAATGGATCAAAATGATACTTTCCAGAATAGTTTGTGTTGTTTTAATGAAGAATTGTTTAAATTTTGGTCACGATCAGAAAGTAGGTTGTGGATATGAGGACCATTTTTAAAGATAACAATAGGTGTATGATGAATATTCAAATTAGTGCAATTACAGTAAATGTATACAGCGTTTTATATGTACTAAATTCAGTTTTTTGGAACTGATTTAGAATATTTTTAATGCATCTTTATATTGAACGCTAAGAACCATTGACTATTTGCATAATATTTCCATTTCAAAACCAATAGTTGGCATTTTTTTTGTCAATTATAAAAGTAAAATGTTCCCGTGGGTTTAACCAGCAGAAGTAAGGAATTGGCAGGTACACAACTAATACAATAAAAGGCATTTATGATTGGCCGGTTAGTGTGTTTTTCTTTTTAAGTAGGTGGTGGTTGGAAAGTAGGTGGGTGCTCCCTTTTTTGAACAATCAGTAGTTGAAAATAAAATTTTTCAATACTATATGTTGCTTGAATTCTGTATTCAAAAAGTAAGACGTGCAGTGAGAATTTTGGTGAAATTCGGATTACAAAATCTGAAAATGGCTACTCTTAAAAGAGTCCCCAAAAACATACTGAAAGTGGAAATAGTGTCGTGAGGTGCCAGTGGTGGTGGTTGAAGTAAATCAGGAACACATTTCCTGATTTTATTTATGTTATAGAAAGAGATTTGTGGGTGGAGACATGCAGTCCTCCCCCTCTTAATATGCCCTGGCATTGTCTGGCAAAACAACAAAATTCTTTTATTTAGTTTAATAATAAATACAATAATTTGCTATTAAAAAGGCAATACATTATCTTACTTTCCTTTTCTGGTGCTGAATTCACATTCTAAAAATGAATAAAGAAAATATAAAATAAACATTAAAATATTACTTTACAGGCTTCTACTCTGTTAATGGCAGGATTGACTGTTGACATATTTCATCATGTTTGTGCAGTAGATCTCACAACATTATATATAATTTGTTAAAATAATTTTTTTCTTCATTAACTAACCAAATTTTAGTTACTTCTTTCTTTGTTTAAATACCATCATATTCATTATTTTATATGGCTTTAGTGTAGTTACTCTTAAAGTAATAAAGTTTGAAATCAAATATTCATTAAGTTCAACATACATGATTTTGCTTTGGTTGTAGATCTTCTACAATTTTCTCCGCAACAGCATTTTCATATTTGTTTTTCATCTCACCATCTGTGAACATTTTTAAAATTGATTAAAAATCAATGAAATATCATGTAATATATTTTAATTCAAAGAAGTTCCTCAATAGACTGACAAAGATAATAAGAAAATATTTAAATATGCAACAAAGTAATAAAAGCAATTCTATCTGTAATTGAGTTTATTGCCTATTTTTAACCTCTAAAAATTTAATTTAGTGGATTTAGAGAATAACACATACCGAGACAGACTTTATCTTGTTGCCATTTAGTTGGATCTGTTTCATCATACATACAGCTTCTTGTGATTGCTATTCCATCCGTGATATCATGATTTTCAT